TCATTGCAGTCACGAAAGCTTTAAATCGAAGTGTCTAGGTTATAGTACTAGATTATAATTATCTCAATACATTTCTGTCAGAATATTTATTAATACTGGAGGAATCAACTGAACTATATGCTAGATTTGAAGTTTTCGTGACTGCAATGATCCATACTCTTTGGTTCTTTCGGAGGCTTGTGTTGCTTCTGAAACGTCGTGATTTGATTAACTTTATTCTTTATTTTTACCTACGTGACTTTACCGAAAGAACCAAAGAGTATGAGCTATAAAGCTCTTTTTCCCCGCAGATGTCCAGTAGGGGCAGGTTAGAACGTTGCAAAAACAAACAGTGCACAAACACGATAGGAGTGCAACGTATAGGAAAGGTAAACAAATCACACATATTCTTGGTTCTTTCGGTAAAGTCACGTAGAATAATAAAAAAATATAAAAAATAAAATTATATTTCTCTTTTATTATTTTATTGTTTCCCTTCTACATGACTTTACCGAAATAACACGTAGAAGGGAAACATAAAATATAAAACAATACAATTATATTTATATTTTATTGTTTCCCTTCTACGTGACTTTACTGAAAGAACCAAAAATATGAATCCCTGCAGTCACGAAAGCTCTAAATCAAAAATAAATCGCACATATTAATAATGAAACGCAACTAATTTTTGTTTCTTACCAGGTAAAGCCCACTGAGGTGTTAGCATATTTTTTTCCAGAAGCGACCTGGCCACAAAAATGATATTTCAACAAAGTGGCTTATCACGTGGAAATTTATAGCAGCAAAAGAATAAAAAAAGCATAATATAGGTGTTTGGGTTAGATCGCGTAAATATATAAATGTCGCTAAAACCCGCCACCACCCGACATAGCAAACTAGTAAGGGTTGTCACTTAAACAGAACATGCAAATTGGTCACTGGTACAGCACACCGGTGTGTTGGAGAGCCAAGCCACAACATTTACACATTATGGATATTGGTCGCGAAAGCCTACGTGTTAAACATAAATAAACAAATCACACACATCTATCGGATTATAGCACGGACCCAATAAACTTGTACAAATCTGGCAAAACCGCAAACGGCTACCGAATTGTAAGACGCACTCACTCCAACTTAAAAAAACAAATACGGGGTGGAAAAACACCCCGGGGTGCGTCTTATATTCCAGCACAACGCGGACGAACGAGAGCTCTACATTTAGCGGGGCGTCGGGGCGCGCGTTTCGCGCAACGCGGATTGGCCACTCGCCGAGCGCGATCGACCAACGTCGCTTCGTGATTTGGGCCAAAACGGAGTGACCGGCATAGCAGTCATAAAAAAAAAAGTTTCACATTGGAAAATGTTACTATTTATGTTTTTTTTTTTATTAAATTACCAGATAAAAGGCCCACTGAGCTAGCGATCTGGCAATCATAAATTATATGCATCAACGCAGTGGGTTATCAATGTGGAAGTTTATAGCAGGCAAATTCTCTAAACGCGTGACGTTGAGAAAAATCTACGCAACCGTAGGGAGAGAGACACACAAACTACGAATATACAGTTGTCAGAGTCGGGATCGAGCCCACGACTTTCTTCATACCAGGCGAGGTAGTTAACTAAACTAAAACTATATTTTATCAAGTAAGGTCCACTGAGCTATATAGCTCTTTTTCAGAAGTGACCTGGCTGTCACAAATTATAGCTCAACGAAGTGGCTTATCAATGTGGAAATGTATTGCAGCCAAATACTCGAAACGCGTGATATGTGGAGGGGAAACCGGAGGACCCGGAGAAAGAAAAACAATCCACGTGACCACGGGGAGAGAGACACGCAAACTCCAAATATACAGCAAGCGTCAGAGTCGAGATTTGAACCCACGACCTCCGTGTATATTAGGCGAAGTGAGCTAACGTCTCACCACCGCGGCAAGTGATGAGAATTAAATTGGCACTATTCGGACACACGTGTATGACAGACAACTGGACAATTAAAAGTGCTTTGCTCGAAAAAAATGGAAGGAACCGGGCAGAGAGAGAGAGAGAGGAATAACTGTTAGGAAATGTGCGTGGCGACGACGACGACACAAGAGATTGGTGCCAGAAATACGCGCACAACTACCGAAGCGAATATCGGGCACTCCAAGACAAGAGGGGGGAAAGTGGAAACGAACGACGAGTAATGTGTACCAGCGAACACCTCGCGGGGCTGTCTGCCCACATGGATTGTGGCGACGACGACAAAGGAGATTGATGCTACTCGAAATACGTGCACGCACGTCCTGATCATATTGGGCACTACAAGCTAAGAGAAGAAAATGGGAAACAAACGACGAGAAATGTGTGCCAGTGGACATCTCACAGGGCTATCTGCCTGACGACGACGAACGCAAGAGATTGTTCCAGAAAGACGCGCGCGCACCACCAAAGCGAATATTGGGCACTCCAAGACAACAGGAGGAAAGTGAAAAGAAATGACGACTAATGTGTACCAGTGGACACATTTTCTCATGTATAGTGCGAGTACTACCTGAGCAAGTATTGGGCACTAACGAGACAAAGAGGAGGAAGAGTAGAAACAAACGACGAGTAATCTTGAATTGAGTAATGTGTATCAGTGGACACATTTTCTCAGGCAGTGTGCACCCAGTGGACACATTTTTCAGGCTGTGCACCAAGTGGACACATTTTCTCGGGCAGTGTACCAAGTGGACACATTTTCTCAGGCAGTGTACCAAGTGGACACATTTTCTCAGGCAGTGTACCAAGTGGACACATTTTCTCAGGCAGTGTACCTAGTGGACACATTTTCTCAGGCAGTGTACCCAGTGGACACATTTTCTCAGGCAGTGTACCAAGTGGACACATTTTCTCAGGCAGTGTACCAAGTGGACACATTTTCTCAGGCAGTGTACCCAGTGGACATATTTTCTCAGGCAGTGTGCACCAAGTGGACACATTTTCTCAGGCAGTGTACCAAGTGGACACATTTTCTCAGGCAGTGTACCCAGTGGACACATTTTCTCAGGCAGTGTGCACCAAGTGGACACATTTTCTCAGGCAGTGTGTACCAAGTGGACACATTTTCTCAGGTAATGTACCCAGTGGACACATTTTCTCAGGCAGTATGCCCAGTGGACACATTTTCTCAGGCAGTGTGCGCAGTGGACACATTTTCTCAGGCAGTGTACCCAGTGGACACATTTTCTTAGGCAGTGTGCCCAGTGGACACATTTTCTCAGGCAGTGTGCCCAGTGGACACATTTTCTCTGGTAGTGTACCCAGTGGACACATTTTCTCAGGCAGTGTGCACCAAGTGGACACATTTTCTCTGGTAGTGTACCCAGTGGACACATTTTCTCAGGCAGTGTGCACCAAGTGGACACATTTTCTCAGGCAGTGTACCCAGTGGACACATTTTCTCAGGCAGTGTGGACCCAGCGGACACATTTTCTCAGGCAGTGTACCCAGTGGACACATTTTCTCAGGCAGTGTGGACCCAGTGGACACATTTTCTCAGGCAGTGTGCACCAAGTGGACACATTTTCTCAGGCAGTGTGCCCAGTGGACACATTTTCTCAGGTAGTGTGCCCAGTGGACACATTTTCTCAGGTAATGTGCCCAGTGGACACATTTTCTCAGGCAGTGTGCCCAGTGGACACATTTTCTCAGGCAGTGTGCCCAATGGACACATTTTCTCAGGCAGTGTGCACCAAGTGGACACATTTTCTCAGGCAGTGTGGACCCAGTGGACACATTTTCTCAGGCAGTGTGCACCAAGTGGACACATTTTCTCAGGCAGAGTGCCCAGTGGACACATTTTCTCAGGCAATGTGCCCAGTGGACACATTTTCTCAGGCAGTGTGCACCAAGTGAACACATTTTCTCTTGTAGTGTACCCAGTGGACACATTTTCTCAGGCAGAGTGCACCAAGTGGACACATTTTCTCAGGCAGTGTGCCCAGTGGACACATTTTCTCAGGCAATGTGCCCAGTGGACACATTTTCTCAGGCAGTGTACCAAGTGAACACATTTTCTTAGGCAGTGTGCCCAGTGGACACATTTTCTCAGGTAGTGTACCAAGTGGACACATTTTCTCAGGCAGTGTACCCAGTGGACACATTTTCTCAGGCAGTGTGGACCCAGTGGACACATTTTCTCAGGCAGTGTACCAAGTGGACGCATTTTCTTAGGCAGTGTGCCCAGTGGACACATTTTCTCAGGCAGTGTACCAAGTGGACACATTTCCTCAGGCAGTGTACCCAGTGGACACATTTTCTCAGGCAGTGTGGACCCAGTGGACACATTTTCTCAGGCAGTGTGCACCAAGTGGACACATTTTCTCAGGCAGTGTGCACCAAGTGGACACATTTTCTCAGGCAATGTGCCCAGTGGACACATTTCCTCAGGCAGTGTGCCCAGTGGACACATTTTCTCAGGCAATGTGCCCAGTGGACACATTTCCTCAGGCAGTGTGCCCAGTGGACACATTTTCTCAGGCAATGTGCCCAGTGGACACATTTCCTCAGGCAGTGTGCCCAGTGGACACATTTTCTCAGGCAATGTGCCCAGTGGACACATTTCCTCAGGCAGTGTGCCCAGTGGACACATTTTCTCAGGCAATGTGCCCAGTGGACACATTTCCTCAGGCAGTGTGCCCAGTGGACACATTTTCTCAGGCAGTGTGCCCAGTGGACACATTTTCTCTGGTAGTGTACCCAGTGGACACATTTTCTCAGGCAATGTGCCCAGTGGACACATTTCCTCAGGCAGTGTGCCCAGTGGACACATTTTCTCAGGCAATGTGCCCAGTGGACACATTTCCTCAGGCAGTGTGCCCAGTGGACACATTTTTTCAGGCAGTGTACCCAGTGGACACATTTTCTCAGGCAGTGCACCCAGTGGACACCTCCCGGGGTTGTCTCCCCAACACAGGGATCGCGTCGGCGGCGGCGGCGACGGCGATTGGCCACAGTCGCTGGCGCCACTGAAGCGCCGGGCCAATCGGAAGGCGGCGCCGTCGCCGCCGCGGGCGAGCTGCTTATCTGTAGTGGGGAATGCAGTTGGCGGCTTACAGGGGGACAGCGATGGGCACCTACTCGGACCTGCCGTGCCTCACGGTGCTCGCCATGTACGTGGTCTCATCAAGCATCCTCACGTCCAGCGGCATCGCCTCGACACACTGGAAGCTCTACGAGCCCGAAGGTTTGTTTTTGTTTTCGATGTTATTCTCGGGGGGGGGGGGGGGGGGGGGGTGTCGAGCCTTGTTTGTCTGGGCGAGGCTACCCCCCACACCAGCCGTAGGGCTCGCTAGGCGAGACCGAGGATCACGCCTATAAAGTAGGCCGCGAGATAAGAGGTGTTTTTATTTTTAGTTTTTGTTTGGCGTTTTTGACGTCGTGCATTGTCGTTGCGTATTCCCCCCTTGACGGTCGTTGTTGATGATACGAGTTGGAGTGGTTTGCTGTTTATTATTATTGTTGTTGCACTATTTGGTTATTGGCGCACCTACTGTACGTATCTCGGAGTCTCCTTGGCTGTCGACCTCTGGCCGCTTCTGTAATGGAGGGGACGGGGTTCTCTCGGTCTGCATGCTTCTCTCGCAGAGATTTTAACGTGCGCCTTGGCTTCTGCGTTCTCCCTTGTGTCGCCTCCTCCTCCCGTGTGTCTCTGCCCGCCTGCGGTTTAGATGCTTTCCCCGTGTCTGTATGTAAGTACCGTACGCGTTTTGTCTCTCTCTCTGTCTCTGTGTGTCTTGTTTCTTTGTGTCTCCTCTGTGTGCGTGCTTTCTGCCTCTGCCTGTGTCTTTGATGTATTTTGAGGTCCTTCCTCTGCGACTGTCTGTCTGCGTTTCTCTTTATAAATCTGCCTGCAGTATTTTAGGCCATTTCTGGTTGCCTCGGTGTCTTTGTCTTCGCGTCTCCCTACGTGGCTCTGTGTCTCTGTTTCACTGTGTGTCTACCTCCTCTGTATGTCCCTCTGTGTCTCCGTATCTCCGTCTCGTTGTCTCCGACTTGCCTGCATGCCTCACTGAGTAGCGAGAAAGGCCCCCTTTCCTCCCCATTCTTTACACAGGGTAGCACTTAGCGTTAAGCGAATGCCTCACTTGCCTGAGGGGCCCCGAAACATTCTAGTTGATCCAGTTGTACGCCCCTGCCATAACCAAAGCCACGGATACAACCCGGCGTAGCCATTTCCTCTTAGAACTGCAGTTTTTGGAAAATCCATACCCGAACTCAAAGGAACCTGCTCACACACACATCACCAGCCAGAACCATCTGTAGGTGTGCCTCTTGGTATCTTATTCTGGTCACCACACCACTGACTACCTGTCCCTCGGTCACCTGCAAACTCCTTCATCCTGAAAATATGCCGCACCCATCACATTCTCCTTCTGATTACATCTTCAACGTTTGTTTTTTTGTTGTAAAAAAAACATGATCACACACACACGTATACACCTATGTGTTTATTTCATAGACATTGCAATATACCCACACGTGTTTAATGTTTTAACCCCCAAATCGAATGCGCATATTGCTTGAGATATTGGTATCTCATTTGTATAGATGATTGTGGCAGAATAATGTAAAGGCTCATGATGGTTTAGACGCACTATATTTATTAAATTTTGTCAAATATAGGTGTGCCTATGCATATACTAGGAAAGTAAAAAAATGTGCTCAAAAAGTTACAGCAAAGACTTGGAATTATTTTACCCGTAAAGCATGGTCAGCCCATAGTTTCCTTCTCATGTTGTAAAGACAATATACAATCACCATTATTGGGACTAATTAACTTTTCATTGGGTACTGTACTGAAAGTCTACCGATTACTTGTGTACATTTGTGACTTTTTAAATCGCCTCGGCCTTTAGCGTGGTGTGATGTTTTTTTTACCGCGGTTATATTGCTCCAAAACCTTTCAAGGCCACCCTCTGAAGAGTCATTACTGGAGCGAGTCCGCAGGTCATTTGGTGTCACCGTGTGTTTGTGTTTACGGCGGTTCAGAGTTCACGTTAAACGCCCAAATTGTCAATACTGTGCCGTAATGTGGTGTGTTGCGTGGCAAAGGGCCAGCTGTTTTACCTGACTTGACTTTATAAAGCTCATGGATAAAAAAACACATTTGAACGACTGCTGTAAAATTGATGCAAGATTACCCCCTAGGGTTGCTGTAAAACTGTTAATGGTGTGTGTATTTTTTTATGACAGTTGCAATAAATTTGTTTTATTTTAATGTTTGTTTTATCTAACATTCAAAATCAGGTCAGTTCCATTTTATAGAAACAAATATTACAGATAACAAAGTTGAAAAGTTAAACTCTTCATCTAGTTCTGAAATATTGATATGTTATTAACCTAGGACTAATTCTCAATACAATTCCTTATCGGGAATTTCTCTATTTACCTGAAAACCGCTGTTTATTCTCTTCTATCTATTCCAGTTGTATTGTTCATTATTCTGAATTGAGATATCGCCTGTTGTACTTTGCAATGCAGGGTGTCCCTTGATAACGAGATGTCTGTCTTATTGGGCTCACATTTGTGTTTTTTAAAGCCAACTGTGTACTGGCGATCGCATATACAGCTGACACAGTTACCTTTGACCAGGTAAAGAGCACAAGCTGGAAAGTACGCAAAGAAGCCACATAGGTTGCATGCTGGGAAATACAGAGGCAGGAAGAGGAATACCATGGATTGGAGAGCAAACACAAGTTAGAGACGTAATATTGAATTAAGGAAATTAAAAGGGACTTGAGCAGGACACGGGTCATGGCTAGAAACAATGATGGCCATGGTAGAGACTCACCACAGAGGTGATAGCCAAATGAGGGAACATGCCAGAGATGGAGCAATGAAATGTTGTTGTTGTTTCAAAAACAACTTAATGTGCAGGAGATAAATATTGTTGCGTTGTGGGACCATGGGGGTTGCACAAGCTTGGAGGGAGGCCTGCATCCAGCAGTGGATTGATCAATCTTGATTTGAAGGTTTCGTGACTGCAGGAATCCATACTCTTTGGTTCTTTCGAAAGAACCAAAGAGTATGGATTGATCATAGCAGTTCTGATGCACTGTCACTTGATTATGAATAAAATCGGTATATGTATTATTGCGCCTAACGTTTCACAGCCTAGGAAGGGAGGCCTTCGCCCAGCATTGTCTCGGCAGTGGTTGAAGACGGCGAAAATGAGAAATATAAGTGGGATTTAGATTCCAGAAATATGGATGTAAAGTCGTTAAAACAGCACCGCTACTGCAGTAGAGGGAAAGGAGTCAATATTTTCGTGTTTAAATTTTGATTTAAAGCTTTCGTGACTGCAGGGATTCATATTCTTGGTTCTTTCGGTAAAGTCACGTAGAAGGGAAACAATAAAATAATAAAAATCTAAAACAATAAAATTCTCACGACGTTTCGACTGCAACACAAGCAATCATCATCAGGTGTGAAAACCACAACAATAACATTTTCTTGTTGTGTGTTTTTTATTGTTTCCCTTCTACGTGACTTTACCAAAAGAACCACGAATATATATTTTCGTGTTTGTTACTGGAGACTGACCAAAAGGAAAGTGAGCACAGCTGTTCATATTAGTTACTATTCCGGTTGCAAACTGGCACGCGAGTGTGTGCCCTGTTGACACCATCTGCCTTCACGTTTGTTGATGATGTACATTGGCGTATTAAATGTGAGCCTCTATAAATGACATAAATGTTGTAAATGGCACAAAGCAAACGTATTGCATACTTTATTGTGCCAGTCGTAGTGTTTCTCACTCATTGTAGTTTAAGGAAATGTTTCATTACCATGTTTTTTTTATAATTAATTTAACGCCTACACTAACTTTCCAATTGCAGATCATGTTGTTTTTAATGCGTTTTATAAATTATATTCTTGTTTATGCTGTACACAGTAGACAGTGCCGTATTGCTTAAATATAATTAAGCATTACACCGCGTATTGTATGAAAAGAATACTGTCAATGCGAGAGGCTTAATTTTGATAAGTTGCTTTATGCATGAAATGTGCTTGTCTGAAAGCATTAGTCACAGATGCACATGCTAAACACTTACATAATCTACTTGCATTATATTACTACAAATTACGAGAGTTTTCATTACTTTCTTACCTGAAATGTGTAGTTAGGAATGGCTCCTTGACGAACCTTAGTTTTTACATGTAATTTCAAGAAGAAGAACATATAAACCACGCGTTCATGCTTGTGCTATTCATTTCCATAGGGTCGAAGGGAAAAAAATGGGAGTGGGATGGAGGAGAAAACAAATCCAAGACTTCGGAAGTCGTTGTTGTCGGTGCAGTAAATTTCATGTCTTCTGTTGTTTTTTGATGGGTGTGCCCAAAAAAGTAATATCGGAACATGCCTGGACAAAATCCATCTCTCCACAATAGAAACCTGATGGCCCCGGGCTGCTGCATTGAACATATTATACTTCCGTGTGCACAACAGCTAACGGTGTCTTAATGATCGCTCCAAGTCTTTCAGTATTGACAGTCACATGGTGGTTCCGTAAACCTGTAAAATTGTACTTTCATGCTTTAGAAATGGAATGGAAAATAAATTATTTATCAACATTTTAAAGGGACACATTTCTGATGAAAGGGGAATAACTATGCGCTGTATATATGTGTATGTGGAACCTCTTCGTACAATATGTAGCCAATTGCGTTAATCGGAAGTGTGGGGGAAGGACAACAAAGTAAACACAAAAACTGTTCTAAAGCAAATATGTAAATGTTTCCATGCTGTGGACTGTACATATTGCCAAATTATTGAGTGCAGTTAGTCATGATAAAAAAAAACAACTTTAAAGTAAGATATTTAACAGATATGGGTCTTGTATCGCCATGAAGAAAGAAGAGTTGGGCCTTCATCCCATTGCACCAGTATGTCCACAAGCAAAATCTGGCCTTGTTTTAGGTTTTGGTAATTTAATCGGAGAGTGTTGCAAACGTTGCTGGAAAACATTTATCCAGAATTCCCATAGACCAGTGATAGCCAAATGTTAGTTTATTTTTAAGTCGGGGAAACTGAGCCCGTGTCTAAAATAATAAGTAGGCAAAGGTTCATCTGTCCACATACAAGAACAACTAAAAGCATTTGAGCCCATTAGCCTTTGAGTCTTTTCGACTATTGTCTCGACTAATATTTTAAAGAAAATCAACAGTTTAGCAAACTCTACACTTGTAAGTGACACCGGACAAATTTCATGCCTGTTCCTATCAGAATAGTTGTATGCACCCTAATATATGCAGGGTCCAAAATGTTTTCCCATTTTGGTTAAGTGCTTTTAAAACCTAATCTCATATTTCGTTTTGGCACAGTTAGTGCAATCTCCAGATACAAACATTTGTTGGGATATGTAAAAAAAAACTCAAAGTTAAAAAATATTGCCCCTCCCCCCACCACCCCCAATTTTTGTGGCACCCATAATTGAAAACTTTTTTCTTTGCGATTTTAAAAGTGTGAAATTACCACTTCGGAGGCTCATCGGCGATCATTGCTTATTTGTAAATTACTTGTAGATGACGACGCAATACATTTTCATAACGACTCCCTTGTAGCAAGTCTGTCCTATAAGTATGTTTGTGTGTTGGTAATGGCCCCCTAGTTGGCACATTAGGGGGCACAGGTGGTACATCTGCCAGTCATCTCAGTCAGTCAACCCATGGCACCTCGGTCTTCACGTGGCCTTAAAGTGCAAATAGCCTGGCACAAAGCGCCGTGGTGACGTCACTGACAATTAGTGGCTAATGGCGATTGTTCCTAACGGCACTTCCCCCAATAACTGTTGAGACGATATGGGGAGGTCGTTGTAACGGTCTTCCCTCTTGTTTCCGTAATTCCAGACTATCTTCCTCGTTTCGCTACACAACTCCCCGTGCGTCTTCTGCCACCCACGCTCCTGGTTTCCCCTCCCCTGCTTGGAAGGGAAGTGACTCGTGCCTGTTCCACGCTATCAGCCCAGCGCCACCTTTATCCCCGGCTTCGGCTTCTGCCCCGATTTCTTGACCTTTTGTACCCAGCGCATCTCTCCTTATACCCCGTCTTCCCCTTTCTCTATCCCCCGCCGCCACCACCACCACCATGGGGACGCCACAAAGTGCCTCTGTCCACCTCTCTCTCTCTCGTTTGGGAAAAACGAATATTTCCAATTTTGCAAGATTCTTTTCATAATAAAGGCTTTTGGGTTAGATCGTGTTATTTATAAATGTGTCGTAACCCTCCACCACTCGACACGGCCAATCGGCAAAAAAGTGTCACGTTGACAAAAGACAAATAGTTCACTACTCTCACTGTCTCTCGGTTTTCACAGCTCGTTGGTTGCCATTCTTCATCCACCCTCGCTGTGCACCACTCATATTAGCGTTAATCTTATTCCTGGTTCCATTTTAGTTCCATTTATTTGGTGTAGCCCTGTGAGCCATTCGGCTCTTGAATCGGGTGCAACTGCAACAAACAAAAAACAAAACACGAACAAGAAACACATCTTAAAGTGACTATGTGTGACTGTGCAAACAGAAAATCCAGGAAAAAAACATCAAAATATTCCTGAAATAGCACCGTACACCAACGCTGTGTGCAAAAATCCCAGTGGGATGCAAGTCAAACAACAACAACCACAAGACAACTAAGATTAAGGCCATCAGTCTAACTCCATACTACAATAAACAAAAACATGACCAAACCAAAAAACTTTTCGAAATCACCAAAACAAAGCCATAAATGCAATGTAACAGTGATCATAGGGACTGTGCTACAAAAGCAGAGGCTCGACTCTTTTTTTTGTGCTGTCAGGGAGGGGTTTAAGTGAACCCCTGCTTGGCTCTGGGGTTGCTATTGAAGTGCAAGCCCAACCTAACGAGGAGGATTGTCTCACCAACCTTTAAAAAAACTTATATAGTTAATGCCCCCACAATTCATGAATTTAAGACTAAATTAAAGACGTGTCATTTTTGTTCAGATCGCCTATGAATAACTCAAAGTGAGAAAAGGGGGAGTTGCCTCAAGCACAGTTTAGCCTTGTCAATGTTCATTCTTGTTTGTATTATCTATACTGAATTGTACGTTGCAATGACTTTCTTCCCGAGTGATTTATATCAAATGCCTAATTTTTTATCGAGCCTGGAGATATACTGCATTGAAGGTGTGGTATAATAGTAAATAAATAATGATGATGCAATCTCCCCCAGGTTTGGTGAGGCCCAAAGATGGAGGCGACCAGCAATATACACTCCTGGACGACGACGAGACAGATTGGGAGGGCCCGGGCGGTGACCCCATCATGATGATGATGATGAGCGGGCGGACGAAGACGGGGGGTGCGCGAGAACAGCAGCCTTACAGCGCTTGCGCTCGGCAGAGGAGAGCGAGCACGAGTCACGGCGAGCAGCAGAGGTCGGTGGAGGCCCTCGCGGTCGGGGGGGGGGGGGTAACCTTGCCATTAGAGAGGGGGCACCCGTCCGTTGGTTCCGTCCATTTAAAATACTTTATAGCAACGTATGTTGAACTTCTTTCGCACCATATGTAGCCAACCGCGCTAATCGGAGGTGCGAGAACTTATCAGTCGCGCTTTATGCGAAATGATATGCCAGCGTTACGTGTAGACTGATAGTGAATACGATTGAAAATGATGCAGATGAAAAAGAGGAAACGGTGCAAATTTAGTGGTGACAGTTCAAAAAGAGGGTGAATTTGACTTGGAATCGCACTGCCAAATTGTGGCTCAGAACCGCCACTCGCTTTCAAATCGTGCAGTGAGTTGTTGCACGATTACTACATTTTGCCGCCTGGTGCGGCTCTGTTTGCGCGGCATGGGCAAAGAAAGAAAGAAAGCGAGAGAAAAGTTCGAGCGGCCGTGCTTGTTCTGCGCGCTAGGCGGCGCGACTCGGACGAGGGGCTGCTGACGTGCGGCACGCCCGTCAACCTGACGCAGCTTGACCACCTGGAGGGCGTCTCGCGCCGCCACCTCCTCGCCTTCCTACCCGAGCCCGAGGCGGCACTGCTGTTCACGGGCTCGGAGGACGGCGGTCACGTGGACGAGGTGGCGCTCGAGAGGGACCTGCGGCAGGCCGTCGCACAGCACGGCCGCGAGGTGAGGCCGCTCCCTGCCTGTGATGCCCCTGTTCAGATGTGCTTGTGCGGCCGTGTGGAGCGCTCTTCCTTCCGATATTAGGAAGGCACTGGAGCTACTTGCTTTTTAATCTAGATTGAAAACTAATTTCTTTAGAACTGCTTTTTGTGCTTTAGTTGGTCTTTCTTCCGCACCTCCGATTTTTCACGATTCTCTATGTACAGTGCGAATTTGTGTCGGCAGCGGTAGTGCAGCGTTTAATTAACTGTCTCCCCTAGGTTGGCTTAGCCTCAAAAGTGTACCTCGTGCAATGTGTAAAAACATTTCCACTGGGGAGACGAAGGCAGTCAGTCGGGTGTGGTGCTGGCCACCCATCTGCTCATGTGCCATTTCGGCCTTCATAGGTGCTCGCTAACAGTACTTGCCCAAACAGTCTTTGAAGGCTATACGGGGGATATTGGACTTTGTTAAACAAAAGCAGGCACCCTGTGATGGAGTGTTTTAAGGCAAGGCTTATTCGTGTATAGGCATTAACTTCCAAAACCACTTGATTATGAGGTGGTGGTTAGGATACAGTAGTGCAGCAAGTAGGTTTTTGTGAACCGGTCTGTTTCTCGGACCTTTAGAGGACGCTGCCCCATATGTACGGTGATGAGCTTTCTCTGGGCACTCCGGTTTCATCCTAAATGATGAAAAACAACATGATCCAGTCCATATTGAAGACCTTAGCCTTGAACAGCAGCAGCTGGTAAAACGATATAATCGAAGGACCGAGTGAACTTCTCAATTCAGCATCTGTAGAAGCTCCAGCACATGGAGCGAATGTCAAGCATCGTTCCAAACGATACATGGGACAACCCATAATCGCATGGGGAAGCTAAACGTAATAACCAATCGTCGTAAATCAAATTGGCGTGTATCGGGGTACACCTTTATCCTGCTCTCGTGAGTTCACGCCTGTTTTTTTTACAAAGTAAACGTTTTAACTTTAACAGGCTTCCACGAGATCTGCTCACACTGGGCACATGCAGGGTTAATTATAACAGTAAACATTATTTGGTACATTTGGTAATGGCGTCATCATTTTTATAGCACAAGGCTGTCGCGAAGGACAACGCTGTATTTTACGGACAGTCTGCGGTAGTTTCACAGGAGGGGGGTGACGTTGCTGCGTGTCTAATCCCAGTCGAGTGATAGGTGCGGGTAAATATCCGAATTGGAAACATTTTGACCACGACGCCACTGTCAAGGAAGACGGTGCCGAGTTTTCCGGTTGATGCACCCGCCGGTGATAACCAGGGCGGCTGGCCGAGTTAAAACTCCGAAACTCTGCAACAAGCGGCGAACGCTACGTCCACTTCACAGGTCGTAGGCAATGGCTTGCGGTGGGTTTTGCAGAAATTCTGCCATCGGTGCAATCCTCTGGGTTATTTTCCACTACCATGCTAGAGTAAGGCATTGTTTATTTCCCCAACATCCCCTCTAATCAAACCACATTTACTCGTCATCAATTTTATTTGTGTTGCTGTTATTTTGCATTTTAACGGCTTGGTTTATCAACTGCATTTAAGAGGCATTCAAAAAGTGTATTTATAAATATGCGTTGACTTCCATCTAATACAGTAATTGCATTTCGAATATACATCGGAACGTATCTTATGCACACACTTATTATTCCCGATTGCGTTATATGTTTTTTTATATATGTCAAGCACAACCACACAAACCATCAGATATATCCATGTGTTTCACACAATTGAAGTTTATCTTAAGTAAACACGTAAAATTAAGTCTGATGGTATCCTATGGCAAAATTGATTGCTATCACCATGCATAACAGGGGGGGCTATGTTGTGGGGAACACAACTGCGAATACATGGGCATATGCAGTAGCATATACCCATGTGTCTCCCAGCAAATCCAGGAAGCTTAACGTTTCCCTGGCTGCTGCACACGTTCTGCCACCTGCTCACTTTCAGAAGCAATCGCCGTGCACGATGGCCTCACTCTTCCGGCAAATCGGCAACTACTGGCGCCTCAAGGGGAATGCATACCACGCCATCGAGTGCTTCCGCAAGGCGCTGGCGCTGGCGGGAGAGCGGCCGGACGTGCTGCTCGACCTGGCGCGCCTCCTCTTCAGCCACCAGTTCAGCGCGGACGGCATCGAGCTGGCGCGCCGGGCGCTGCACCTACATCCGCCCGACCAAAGCGCGTGGCTCCAGCACCTGACGCTCGGTGAGTCGGAGTAGCCCTTGCTCTTTCCCCGTTCCTAAACGCTCACCGTAACCACTCGCCATGACTCAAACCCTCGCCTTAACGCCTAACTCTAACCCCTTGGGAGCGTATGGCTGCAGCATGTGACACTCTATGAGCTGGCCTAACCCTAGCATGATAGCCCTAGCCCTCTTGCATGGACTCGCTGTGTTGTGTGGGGATAGGGGTGCCGTGGTGGTGAGATGTTATAACCCCCTTGCCTGATATACAAGAGCTTGTGGGTTCGATCGCGACCCTGACACCTGCTGTATATTTTGAGTTTCCATGTCTCTCTACCCGTGGTCGCTTGGGATTTCAATCCGGGCCCTCTGGTTTTTTCCTACACATTTAGAAACATGTTTTTAGAGTATTTGGCTGCTATAAATTTCCACGTGATAAGCTACTTCGTTGAGCTACCATTTGTGGTCAGGTCGCTTCTGAAACATAACTATATAGCTCAGTGGTCCTCACCTGGTAAAATAAAAATATATTGAATGTCCTTATACCTTGTGTGCTTGGTACCAATAGCGGTGTGATTTTTTTTCTCATTGGTGATATACCAGTGGTTTACAGCCAGAGGGCGCTAAACTAGCACCTTTACCAGAACAATGAAACGAGAAAGGTTCGGAAAATATGCTTAACTTTGCCAAACTTGCCAACGAAGTGGCAAAAGAAAAATTGTGTAAACCTTTTATCTTTTTCAAAAATGTGAGATACAGTCCGATTAGCTTTTGAAAGTCAGTGTGTAGTAAAAGGGTAAAACAATTGACAGCCGACCACTTGAGTCAGTCAGGTTGAATCATAAAATGTGTAAACTGCTTGTTTTTTCACATTTTACATGAGATAAAGTACAATTTAGCATAAGCGGCCTGCTTATCACCACTCGGACCAAAACCTTTCGTGACACGTAGCGCCTCCGCTACAGCCTTGCTCCACGAGAATGGCGCGAATACCAAATTTACTCGCGGATTTGACCTCCCTCCCTCCCTCCCTCCCTTCACCTCCCCCCCCCCCCCCCCCCCGTCCTTTCCTCGCAGGCGAAATGCTCAAGGCGGTGGGTGACGTGACGGGCGCGAGCGTCCACTTCCGCCAGGCACTGGACCTCAACCCCGGCTCGTCGAGGGCCGCTTCCGAGCTGGCGTCTCTCCCCGGCTCGTGGGCGTCGGCGTCGAGGGCAGCCGGCGGCTGCGGCGGCGCCGGCGGCGCCGGCGGTGCCGGCGGCGCCGGTTCCCCCGTCACGGCGTACACGCTCGTGCTCATCGTGGGGCTGGTTGCCGGCGCGCTCCTCACGCTCCGCCAGACGGTGGCGGCGGCCGGCGGGCGAGGTGCCGAAGTGTCGGGGGCGGCTGCCGCTGGGGGGGCCGCGGCCGTCGGGGCTCCGGGGGAGGCCGGCGGCGGGACGTCGGGCGGAGGGGCGCTCAGGAAGACGCTGCGGCAGGTCGACTGGCAAAGGAGCCGCATCGCGACCCCGTCGCGGGTCATCCGCTTCAAGAAGGTCAACCACAGTTGAGGTGTCGGCGGGGGAAAAATAACGACGATTTGTATCATTTGTAATTGTTTTGAGATGGGGGTGGAGGAGGCGGGGGAGGGGGGGGTGTATAGGGGTGGGGGAGGTGTGGAATTCACACAAATTTATATGTTACTTGCAAAGGACTTCCGGCAACACAGTCGCATGATGTCGACCCCCCCCCCCCACCGCCGCACGTTCATGAACGTACCCGAGGCATTATTTAAAAAGCAATCTCAGCCCTCAGATCGGATCCCCCCGTAGCCCAGTCTCCTTCCATCCCCTGTGACTCATGTTCACAGCTGACTTAACTCATTGTTGTCGGCCAGCGCTAAAACTTTCCAACTGGATCGGGTTGTCCGGAGTTGGACTTACAATCGTAGAGGTGATAGCCACAAAATGCAAGCTGCTGGTTGTCAATGCCTAAAGCGACAGACTGTTATTTGAACCAATGCAGCATTGCATTGTCGTACTTCCAAGTTTTGCAATAAATTTGTTCAGGGGCATTATCAACCAATATGCCTCCTGAAATAATATTGTTTTCAGTAGATTTCATAGTTGTGACTGCAACAAGTCTGACAATCAGCCAGTCTGTCTTTGCACGTACACGTTTGGACATGTGTATGAAATGTTTCTAAACATATCATTTGTTAACGGAATAGCGATACGTATACATGGTACAGTTTTTATTTTGACAGCATCTAAATACAAGAATATCTTTTCTGCTGAGTTTCTTCTGATTTAAACGCAAGTTCCACTTTGAGATGACACTGTGGATTAAAATTGGCTACTGAATTAGTGCAATAGGAGAAGTTTATATTGTGAGTTGTATACATATCTAATCCTTGTTAAATTGCACAAATCTCTTTTTATTATAGTACCTTGAAAATTAGCGACACTGGAAAGCAAAAGCAAGTGATGTCATTTTTTGCAAATGTTTTTTTGCGTGACTTGGTGCACATTTCTGCAAAAGTGAACATGTTCTTCCCATCATACATGTTAATGTGGAACTTTAAAAAACATGAAACAGACGTAACCAATAGACACCATGTCACAAGAGTGTAATAATCTTATTACGTTGAGATTTTATAATGTAAAAGTCCACAAACAGCCACTGTCCCTGATTTGAATTGAATGTGTGGACTAAATTTTTTAAAGATATATTTTGAATGCGCTTACACTCAGCCATGTGTTAAGATGCCAAGCTGATATTCTCACTCAATTCACAGTTTTGGTTTGTCTCGGAACAACCAATAATTGTATGGAACACACGCACGGTTCATAAACCGCTTTAATAATTGCTGTGAATGCCCATGAATGACCACTTAAGTATGAATTAACATTGCTTAAATTGTGCATCATAAAGTGCTCAATTAGCTAAAAGCATGTAAAAAATCTTGAATACCACGTTAACATTGCCACTACCGTACCTATTGCATTTTACACACTTGCATCAAGCCATTCAACAACATCACCTGTGTTAAAATAAAACGTGTCCTTTAAGAACAATATCGGTGACATCTTTCCATCCGGTGAAATAATCTGCATTGTTAATGTAAGAGGTGAATCAATACTGGACTCTGTTTTTGCAATAATGTTCATTAACTGGAGGGCATCGTTAAAATATTTGACAGTTAGAACCTCAGGGCTTTGAACACCAGCCTAATTTGTCAATTATTTTGAAACCTATTTTATCATAGTATGTCCATACCTCAAACACTCCATGTCAGGTCGGCATGACCATGTGTTTTGGTGGTGTTTTTGTTCTTTCGGAGGACTCGCATGAACAAAATGCCTTGTTTTCTTTTCTCCATTTTAAGATCCGTTCCTCGTGTAGTATAACGTCTTCCATTGCGGGTCGTTCATTGAAAAAAAAACATTTGGCCACAAATCCGTGTGCTCCGTTCCTCTTGTGTTCTACTGCGGTGTTACGTTCGTAAGGCCACGAAACACACCTGGCAAGGCAGTACGTTGTTGGTGTTGAGAAACTGTCCGCGATTTAAAGAGTGGTGCTCGCCATCATCATAACATGCACTTTGTGAATCGCAGCACTGCAGTAAGACGATTACTCGTTCATCGTTTATTGTTTCATTCCATTGCATTGTGACCGCTCAATTGCATTGAAAAAAGGAAAGGGGAAAAAAATTGCACTCCAATAAAATGAAAGCATAATTTCCTTCGCGTTGGTGTCGTATGTTCGCGCTGCTTTGAGCACTACATACTGATTCGCTATGGTTGACGGTGCTTATGTACACAAACCCCAGCAGTTTCCATATGCCCGTGTTCAATACTCTTCCGAAAGGCCCGTTCGTAAGCCACACACCTAAGATGCTGTTGCAGAGCTCTTTGAACCACCGGTCCTTGTGAGCCACCAGCATGCAGATATTTTTTCAAGAAACCTGATCAGTTATTTTCCATTGGATAGTCAAAATCGAGCCGGCTATAGTTTGCTTAATTCTTTCCAGAAGTTGAGTTTGGAGGGCGACTTGCGTTGGCTCAAACAAAATTCCATTTTTCATGATTTGCCAAGTCACTGAAGTTACCATATAGTACGTACATGGATTTCCCAAAAATACAAATACAAATTTCTTACAAATAGAATCACGGCAAAGACTGAATCGCTGTCAATAAATAAAATGTTACATTCAACACACCCTTCCCGCTGCCAACACACATTTCAAAACATGTTTGTCTGCGCTCAAATTCTGATTGTATGGAATTCAGGCCTGGGACATTTGAGGCTGCATATTTTTGCTTCTTTCAGTAAAGTCACGTAGATAGAAAACCAAAATAATAAGTGATATTTAAAAATACTTTTTGAAAAACACGCTTTAATGAAATGTACCGGACTGGTAATGGCAGAACTCCACGACTCGAGGAAGTGGCCCCGAGGCTAGCCATAACGTAAGGGGACCGTGGTGATTTACAGCCAACATGAGTTGAGCGTGGACAATTGGACCCAAGCCGAAACATAACATAAAAAAGATGGTTTAAAAATCTGTTTTTTTTATTTTTAATGATAGAATATAGTATTGTCATCAATATGGCATAAGTATACCAAGTTTGTAGTCGATATCACATTGGGAAGTGGGTTAAAATTGAGTTACAAGATTTGAGAATACAACAGAGTGAGTTAAATAAAAGCGTGTAAAAATAATAATAAAAATTAATTGGAAATAAGAAAAGCAAAAAACCCACTATAAAAATAAAATTAACAATAAATTGAAAATAATAAAAGCAAAAAATCCTGAATTCGCGGCCCAGCTCGAGTTGCCTGACGGCGGCTGGAGTTCACACTTGGGGGGCTATACATTGCCCGGACGGAGTTGTTGGAAGGCACGGGGGTGGCAATGCCCCCCACCAAACTGCACAACTTCATTAATTTTCAGTAGTTTACAATTAAGATTATAAATGAATGATATGCACCCTGCGATTTCCCAATGTGCGGGACAAGGCGAACCCTTACCCCACCCCATATATGTAAGTCAAAGGTCCGCCTATGGCTTATGGAAACGCGACACTGTTGTGCCGAGGAAATATCTGTCCGAAAACACTTTTTTGTCCGTTCGCAAACACTACAAAATCCACAAACCAATCCCTAAAATACAACGCCGCTTTCCAATACCAATGGGCATCGAAGTTATAGGTTAAAATTATCAATTAAATTGCTTCCAAGAGCCATTTTTTTAAAGTATCTCTTCTACAAACTAGTGTGGTTGGCACAAATATAAATGTTGCAACTCGTGCGGTCGCATGTTTCAGAGCACGCATTGGTGATATCAAATACCCTAAAAAATCGGACGCTACCTTTAATAACAATGCAGCAGCAATATCTCCGCAGGTCTCTCAACACACACAAAAAAACGTACAATTTTTTTCTCACAAAACCATCAGCCGCACGTCCTTGTGAGAGTGCGTAATTTCAGCATCAATTCTTCAAGTCGAGCAAAACTGAGCCGGTTTCGGCATAATATCCCGTCAGCAGTCGGGCTAGCTTTAATCTACTAGTGAACTGGTGATGTTACAGGCAAGGGCCATCTCTTTACATCATCGGGGCTCCCGAGTTCGACACAAAAACTATCATTTCGTGGAGAATATAAATAAAGTAACCGTATTAGATTTTTTTTCGAACCATGCTTGTTCACGTTGGGAGTCCTATAGGTGTCGCAAGGCGCACGCTGTTGTCGCGGCGAGTGAGGCTACGGGGTTCACATTCACACGTTCAAGAGGCTGGAGCTGGGCGCAAGCGAGCTGTCTGGAGGAATACAAAAAATCCAACATCTTCTTTGGTTCTTTCGGTAAAGTCACGCAGAATGAGAATAAAATAATAAAATAACACAATAAAATTCTCACGACGTTTCGGCCACAACGCTAGCGGCCGTCTTCAGGTGAAAAGTACAGACCTGTCGGGACGACAGAGCTTTAATGAAGCTTCAATGAAGCTCTGTCTTCATTGAAGCTCTGTCGTCCCGACAGGTCTGTACCTTTCACCTGAAGACGGCCGCTCGTCGTCCCGACAGGTCTGTACCTTTCACCTGAAGACGGCCGCTTGTCGTTGTTGTGGCCGAAACGTCGTGAGAATTTTATTGTGTTATTTTATTCTCATTCTGCGTGACTTTACCGAAAGAACCAAAGAAGATGAATCCTTGCAGTCACGAAAGCTTTAAATCGAAAAAATGCAACAATTGAACCTTATGGCTGGACCCCGGGGTCTCATAAGCCCCCGGCTCTCGCATGAACTGCGTTGCCACGTCATTTTATGACTGTTAAAGGCGAACGACACGGCAATCGGTTCCTCTCGACGAGCTCTACACGATGCGCTAATCAAAGTTTCAAAGTTGTGTTTCTTCTTGTTGCGCATTCGTCCTCGCCGCCGTTGCGCTTGGACGAGACACGACGTGACAAACAGAACGATCCGCGCCGGGTGGGTCGCGACCTTTATGTGCGCCGGGTGGGACGGAGTCGCCAAAAAATAAATGAACTCATCACGATTTTGACTTGCGTTTAGTCGGGACCCCGGGGTCCCGCCATAAGGTTTAAATGTTCGCCGTCGGCAAAGCGCGATCGGGAGTGGCTCCGTGATTTGCCTTCACAAGAAGAGCGCAGCATGCGAGTTTCCAAAGAGCACGGCGCGATCGAGGGTTGGTGGCCGGTGATTGTTAATGTTTCGCATTGAAAACGTTGAAGCTTTTCCCCCCTGCAACATCCTGACCTTTCCCAATGCTCGAGAGGACATCTCGTGGTTATCACATCGAGTACAATCTGGGTTTATGTTGGCGTTTCTCCGTGGTCGCGTGGGATTTTTCCCCTCCACATTCATAAGCATGCGTTTAAATTATGTGGCTGTTACAAATTAACACACCATAAGCCAATTCGGTGAGCTACTAATTTGTGGCCAGGTAGCTTCTGAAACAGAGCTATATAGCTCAGTGTGCCTTAACTTGTAAATTACAACATTTTAGTTTCGTTTCAATGATTATGAGGCTTTATAATACCGTAATAAAATGTTCTAATGTTTATGTTTATATTCTAAAATGTTCTAATGTTTACAAAGGCTATCGCTGATCTGTGCAATGCACAGTCGCGACGTGGAACGGGTTTGGCAAGGCGTTTGTATGTTTTGCAGTTACACGCACGTGTGACACATGTTGAAAGTGGATGTTGGAAAGAGACTCCATTGCCAAGTGAGAGGACCTTCTTGAGCAACACATCGGTGGCGTGATATTTGTTTAACAATGTATTGCTTACATCACGATAGGCAAATGGGCCTCTACGTATGTATGTTGAACTTCTTTCGCACTCTACGTAGCCGACCGTGCCTATCGGAGGCGTTATAAAGAGCTCCCTCTCAAGCTATTTTGGCCTACTCTTACACGCTGGCCTTGGAAGAGGTGGGATTACCCACGCTTTAACCCACCACACGTGACCTTCCGATCGACTGACTGTGACAAGTTAAGAAACTTGCCGTGCCGTGAGAGCGAACCGGGCGACCTTTGAAATTCAAGTCCCCTTACCCACGGCAACGTCCCGCATCCAAGATGCCGAGGCAATATTCCAATATTCAGTGGCATTAATCGTGGAAACTTGGGTTAAGCTGACCCAAGAGTGACAAAATATTATTTCGAATGTCGTAGATTGTGGTCTGCAGACTTCGCTTTTTACTTCCATCTGTAATGTTGGATGATTCAAATAGGTCATCCATTTTCTATGCTCGCCTGCTGGACGCGTAACATATCACAGTAATTTCCATAACCCACCATAGCATGGTGTTGTTCATTCGTAAATTGCACACTGCTTTATTAACCCGTGTATAAAAAGTAAAAAAAAAATTTAAACCTTGCTGTTTACAGCACTTTGACAATCCCTCTGCCGGATAAGGGCCCTCCCCATGCCGTGTCCATCACAGGAAATGTTTGGCCATGCTGGTCAGTGAGGGTTTGTTAAGACGAGTTGAGCCAGGACCAGTCTGTATGTGTCGATGTTGACGTTATTACGGGCCGTCGATAAATGACGTCACGCGATTTTGGACAATTTTTACCCCCCCCCCCCCGTCACACGGCGTCACAAAAAGTCAGACCCCCCCCCCTCAAATATGACGTCACAAAGCTCTATCCCCCCCCCCCCAAACCATATTTCCGTTTTGAAAATAAAACATGCTTCAAATCTCGATTTAAAGCTTTCGTGACTGCAGGGATTCATCATCTTGGTTCTTTCGGTAAAGTCACGCAGAAGGGAAATAATAAAATAAAATATAAAAATAGTAAAATAAAATTATCACGACGTTTCGGCCACAACACAAGCAGCCGTCCTCAGGTGAAGAAACGGAGCTGTCGGAAAGACACCGCTCCAATGAACACCGCTAAGCTTGGCAGCGTCTTTTAAGCTGGGTTGGTGGAGCCCTGACAAAGGAGTTTACATATCAACAGAAGCATTTAGCTTTGAAGTAGCTGTGTTAATGTGATAGATTTGCAGGATGCTAAAGTCAGAAATTAGCATGTAACTGGGAGATTAGCATGATGTTAATGTGATGAATTAGCATGTAACTGGTCACGGAAGTAGTTAAGGTCAGAGTTTACATATCAACAGAGGCATTTAGTATATTGACGCTAAAGAACTGCAACTACCCAAATATCATACAGTAAACCGATGTGAAAGAACTAAATATAAACTAT